GTCACCCACATTTAGAGCAAGGGAAAAGGCAGGAAAGACTCTGGCTTGATTCTGAACTTCAATCTCGTAGTGTTTTTTCTGACACCCAGAGAACCTACAGGGGATTTACCTTCTAATTTGCTCTGGATAAACTGACCTGTCAGGCAAATCAAGACTGATACAATGTCCATCAGGAGATGGCATGACGGGTGGATCACATCCAGCTCTTCGTGTGACATCAACTGCAAAGTGCAAACATATTAACAGTATACACATAGGGACTTCCAGAGCTGCTCAAATGCAAGTTGCAAGTCTTGTGTGGTGCCACTCCTAGAAAGTTCTGGAGTTCTATTTTTCCCAACAAAGTATACTCTCCTAGGATAGGTGCTTCAGGTACAACAGCATGAGGTAGTAGTATGGTCCCCCCCCAGATGCATGTGAAAGTGGGATGTGTTGCACTGGGAACTTGACTTAGAGTGGGGATCTTTGGGCAGAGAAAATACCACCCTCCCTGCTCCTTCCTATGCAAGGATGGAGGCCTGAGATGGGAGACCATGTTGGTGACTCTGCCCTACAGCTTCCATGTCCTGCCTGACCAGAGGGATCTGTTACAGATGCCTCATTTAGGCCCCTTTAAGTGTCCTTACCCACATGGCAGATAGGGTCCATTTTTGCTTTTATTCCTGGCAGGCCTGAATGATCCAGCACCACATCCTGCCCAGGCTGGTGACAGCAGTGGCTGGAACAGCTTCCAGGTAACATGCTGGGAGCCAGAGAAGCTGATGGGGCGGGTGGTGGAAGGAACAAAAGGAGTAGGTAAGGAAGTGATTGATGGTGTTGATAAGGAACCCTGCTGATGGGGGGGCTTCTGTGCACTCTTTCTGCAGTCATCAGATAGCAATGAGCTCAGCATCACCCCTGTTGTGATAGCAGCGCCAGTCAAAGCAGATGCAGGTACATCCTCCCCCAAACCTACGTTCACAAGTGGCCTGGATGACTTGGACCTCCTGGGCAAGACATTGCTGCAACAGTCTCTGCCTCCAGAGTCCCAACAAGTGCGATGGTAAGTAGGAACAGGGCAATCTTGCATCTCTTCCCACCTTTTTCATGGATATAGACATTTCAGTGCCCTGCTTCACTCCTTGCTTTCTCTCTCTAAATCTACAGGGAGAAGCAACAGCCACCTCCCCGGCTCACTCTGAGGGATCTTCAGAACCGGAGCAGCTCCGGCGGCACAGCCCAAAACTCCAGTGTTCTGCCTGTGCTCCAGGGTGTTCCTCCTAACCCCCCACTGCCCCTGAACTCAGAGCTGCCTGCTACGCTTCCAAAAGTTGCCACCACACCACCAGGAAGCACTTCAGTCCCACCACAGCCTCCTGCCTCCGCGCTGCCCCCAGAGATCTCACTAGCCAACATCACTGTGCCTCTGGAGTCAATCAAACCCAGTGAGCTAGGATGAAAGCTTGGGAAAGGGGGAAATGAACTGTTTGGAAGCTCACCACACAAACTGAGGGGGGTGGGGGGGGGAGGGGAGGGGGGAGAATGGACAAGGTATGAGGAGAGTGCATAAACTGAAGAATGTGAGAAAGCTTGCCTGTCAGATCTCAGGGAGGTTGTATCTCTGTTGCTTGTGTGGAGCATGGCTGATGGGAAGGATTGCCAGTCCCTTCTTGGCTGACTACCACCTGTCCCTGCCTTTCCCACAGGCAGCATCCTTCCTGTGACAGTGTATGATCAGCATGGCTTTCGCATCCTCTTCCACTTTGCTAAGGATGCCCTTCCCGAGAGGCCCGACGTGCTGGTGGTGGTGATTTCTATGCTTAGCACGGCCCCGCAGCCCATCCGTAACATTGTTTTTCAGTCTGCTGTCCCCAAGGTAAGGCTACTGCTGGGGCCTGGGTCCACAGGCAGTTCCCATGAGATTCTCCCTTTGCAGGAGAGGTAGGGTGGGTGGAAAGCTCTGTGGAGCAGGACCCAAAACTATATTTCTTTTTTTCTTAGAAAGTGAAAGCTCCTTATATATCTGACCAGGGCCTCTAGCTGTAATGTCCCTCAGCACTGTGGGATGCCTTTCTTTTTCCCTAGGTGATGAAGGTGAAACTACAGCCACCCTCAGGCACAGAGCTGCCAGCGTTCAACCCCATTGTCCATCCCAGTGCCATCACACAAGTCCTGCTGCTTGCTAACCCACAGAAGGTAACAGCACCATCCCCTGGTGCCTAGGCAAAGCCCTGCTCCCCTCTGCCTGAAACAGAATGAACTATCCATATTCCCTGTGCTCTGTGCAGGGTATTCTTAATCTTAAAGTATTTATGACTTGTTCTTAATGTTTTCCTTCCTTTCTGACTGCTTATCTTTTCTCCCCTACCTCCAGGAGAAAGTGAGGCTACGATACAAGCTAACCTTCACCATGGGAGAGCAAACTTACAATGAAATGGGGGATGTGGACCAGTTCCCCCCACCAGAGTCCTGGGGCAACCTCTAGGGCTGCATGTTGTAGGCACTACACTTGGAAGCCAGCCCTGTGGGGCTGAAGCAGCCTGAGGACATGGGGAGGGCGGGTGGGGGGCTGCTGCTCATGCTCAATTCTCCAATCAGCCGGGTGAGTGCCAGAGGGAGTGTGCCTCCAGGATGAGAGCAGACACCAGGAGATGTTCATCCCACAAGAGCAGGAGTGCAGTCAAGCTGCTTGTGGCTGAACAGTTGCCTTCCCTGCTCTTCCAAAGGCACCCCTCCCTCTCTAGTTTGTTCAGCATCTCTTCTAACCCTGCATTCCCCCTCTTGGTGCAGTGGGAAGCAAGGATGGGAAGCTTTTAACAGCCTCAGCCTAAGGCAGGGCCTAGCAAAGGAAGATCCTTTCCCTTCTCCATCTCTCCCAACCCTTCAGCTGCTTTATGCTCTGCATTGTTCTCTCATGTTAGCAAATGCTGAGCTGTGGGGTATCTTCCCTTGCCCTAGCCTTGCAGCTGGGCCCTAGTGGTTTCCTGTCTGATGGGATGACCTTAGAACTGAACAAGGACTTAGGTGTCTTCCTAGCTCCAGAGAGCAGGCAGTGATCCTTGCTTTTGGGGGCCAGGGAGAAATCTTCCCCCAGCCCCCTCTTTCCAATAGCAGGCAGAGCTGTTGGTGGGAGGTGGGCCCTGGAAAGGGCTCATTCTGTGCCTCCCCAGCTGCTTCAGCTCTGGCTTCTGGGCACTGAACTCCTGCCGGGCGGAAGCACACATCTTCCCACTACGCTTCACTGCAGCACTTGGGAGTGCGGCTGGAACATCGCCTGTTTGTCCTTGCCCCTCGCAGGGCTGACACAATTCAAAAGGGGCCTTCGGTGGGCTGCGTCCTTTCTCCTTGAGGCTGGGGAGGGGAGAGGATGGGAGTTGGGCTCTGAGCATCGCCAGGGGGCACCATCGAGCTCTGCACTGCGGGGACTGGGGTACAGCTGTGCCTTGTGCCCCTTTGCCCAGAGGGGGACTCGCTCCAGCCCCCTGATCACTGTGACACTAGAGTGAGGATCTGCAGGCATGGAGGAGACCAGGGGGTGGAATGTCTTAAGCAATCCGTGTCCCGATAGGGCTTGTGGCCATAGGAGCTGCTTCCCACCTCTAAGCAGTTTGAGCTGGCTCTTAGGGGCAATTTGAGCTCTGCATTAGCTGGCCAGAGGTAGAAGGCAGTCTGCACATGATGGAGATGAGTGAGGTGCTTTGTATTCTCTGCTTGGAACAGTGAAGGTGGAAACTGGGTGCAGCATGTGCTGGAGAAGAGGGGGAAGCAAGGTCTTTATGCTGAGGTTCTGCTGTGTCTTACTTCCCTTTCTGGTCTCTTTTCAGGGTTTTGTATGGGTTTTTTTTTTTCTTTGCAGATCTTGTTTGGTTCTTGAACAGACTTGTATATATTTTCAGTGCAAATTCTGTAAATGGAAGAAAACAAAAAACGCCCGGCGCGACAAATCTGCTGTATTTATGGGAAATAAAGAATTCTTTCCTCATGCTGTGCCTTCTGACTGCATTTTCCCCTGACTGCACCGAGGAGCTGTGGGCCCTGCATGGGGCTCCTGCCAGCTCCTCTTGGGCCTCACTGCTCCAATCTCACTGGCTCGTGAGCAGGGAGAGTGAATGGTGGAAGTCCCCTGCTGCTCTCAATTCCTGTTTGAGGGCAGGCCCCATCAACGTTACGAGCTGTGCTCTGCTTCCTTTTCTCTGGGGCAAGCAGTGGGCAGGAGCCCCCCAGCTCATGGGGAGCTGCTCCCAGGCTGCAGGGCTGTTTGCGGGCTGGTGGCTTTGCAGCAAAACTTCCTCCTCCCCGAGGTAGCTGATCGGAAGCAGCTCTATTAGGGCGGTTTTGGTGCAGAGCTGGAGGTTGGTTGCTGAGAGTTAGGCGTGGGTGGCCACTTGGTTAAAGGTTTTAGAGCAAAATGATGCTCAGGCAGCATTCCCTTGCTTGGTCCTCCCCTTAGAATCATTAAAGTAGAAAAAGACCTTTTAGACCATCTAGTCCAACCACCCACCTGCTGATACTGCCTGCTAAGCTATGTCCCTTGGAAACAGAGGATCGCTTCTGCTGCACCCTCCGGTAAGGAAGAGCAGAGCCCAGCAGCCCCAGACTTCGGGGCACAACTGGAGTGACCACTTCCCAACCCTGCTCAGATGCTGGTTCCACATAGCTTAGCCTCTGCTCTTAGCGCAGGAGGAGGAAAGTCCCAGCCGGAGATAAAGCAAGCTTTGCATCCTGCAGAATGGGAGCAAAATCTGCGGTGGAATACTTTTAGCAAAAAAAAAAAAAGTTGCACTATGTGGCTTGAGCTGAGTGCAGCTCTGCAGAGTGAGGGACGCTAAGGATGGAAACATGAAGCTTGTGGTCACCATGCAACCTTACAACGGCAGCAGGGGAAGGGGGAAGGAATGGCTTTGCCATCTGCAGAAGGGTGCTGGGATGACCAGGTAGTGTGGGGTGTGCGTTACCCTCCCCAAGTGCCCTCCCACACCACAGCTGGTGGTAAACACGGTAAGGCGGGTGAAAAACAGAGCGTGGGCCTCCTACTCGAGCTCAGCAGCTGAGTGTGCCTGTCCTGCCTTGTTATGTGTGTGCTGCAATAATATTTCCCCTTTAAGGCTAGGCTTAAGTTATTTATACTTTGTAGGGTGGTGACAGGAACACAGAGCAGAGCGGAGCTCTGAACCGCTCTTACCTGATCCGCAGCCAGGAAGGAAGCTCAGAAAAAGAGAGGGACTGCAAGAGAGAGCCCAAGGGAGGGGAAGAAAAAGCAGGCAGTCCCCGGGGAGGGGCTGGGGAGGGGACAAACCGGCAAAAAGAAAAAGAGGGAACCAGGGAAGAAGGAAGGAGCAAGGAGGGAGAGGTGCTCGGGGAGCGGCAGCTCTGCACAGCAGAAGGGCTGTGGGCGTCCCATGCCAAGTGTCACCAAGGGGTGCTGAGCTTCATCTCCCAAGATGATGAAGAGGCAGTTCAATCGCATGCGGCAGCAGCTGTCCCATCCCAATGCCACCAGCCGGTAAGGACTTCTCTACTTCCAGGGTCATTGAGCTGGGAGGGAGCAGGATATAGGGCCTGGGAGTGGGCACCAGGCTGGATCGGGCACCCGGGCGGTCAGGGAAGAGGGAAAATGTGGGAGATGGGCTTAAAGCATCTTCAGCATAAGCTGAGGGGCTGTGGGTACCAGCTCCCTGGTGCTGCAGGGCAGTGGGATGGAGGCTTGGTGCTACTCACCAGCGATGGGCTGCACAACCTGGCTGCCCACACAGGTTGGCCTCCCCCAGACACGAGGGCAATGGGCAGGGTCACACCAGCCACATGCCCTAGGCTGTGCGGTGTCCAAGAGGATCTGGGACTTGCTCCCTCCATTCAGATGGGTGCCTGGTGCCCCGCATCTGGCCAGCAGTGTGGACACCCTGTAGCAGAACCTGTGGAGGACTTCCAGCTTCAAACGTATTCCCACAGCTCAGTCTCACTTCCACCACTTCCTTATTTTTCTTTTCGGCTTTCCAGAGCTCTCCCCTTGCAAAACCCAGGGCTGGGCCTTCCCTCCGCAGCCCCCTCACTCCCTGTTTCCTGCAGCCACCTCTGCACAGAGGCACACAGACTCCTGAGCCCTAGGAGGCTGATGGGGACCAGCCCCAGATCTACCAAGGGCCTTCAGCCACCACTGCAGAGCTGCAACCCAGTCGCCTATTGCCCTTCCTGCATTTCCCAATGGGAACCAAATCTCTTCTCCCACCTCTCTACCCCAGAAGAGAGCTTTTCCATCTCCACGTGCCTCCATTTTGCTTGAGGCTGGGTGTGCAGAAGGCCCTACGCAGCTCATGCAGCCCCAAAGAGAGCAATTCACCCACCGCAGAGCCTCTCCTCCACGGGGCTGCGATCTCACGTGACTTTGGCTGCCTTCAAGCCAACCACCCCCGTTTCCTGCAGCTCGTCCCATGTCAGTTCTTGCAGGAGCTGAAAACAGAAACGTGAAGTGGCCAGGCAGGGGGATAAAGCAGCAGCAGAGGAGGTTCCCAGAGAGCTGCAAGGACATGGGTCCACTAAGCAAAGTTTCCCCTATGGGAGGAGTCATGGAGGTTTGGCAGCCTTGGATGTTGGGTTTTGAATTCGGTTTTGATCAGAATTTACTGCAAACCAGAAGCTTCCTTTGCAAGATTCACTCTTCATACATGGTTGCAAAAGCAACCAGAAAGCTGCCTTCATTTTATGCCCTGCAGGGGGCTGGAGTTGGTCTACATCTCCAGCCTTACTACAGTGTCACTATTGCTCCAGCCCCGGTGGCACCTCAACTTCTAGCAATCTTCCCAGCAAAGGCAGATGCCCACAGGGCTCCAGCAGGAGCTGCCTTGGATTTGCTTTCAGAGAAGAGGCAGTTGGGAGAAAGTTTTACCCCCAAACTTATCAACAGAACAGTGGCCCTGTCCCACTGGGGTATTTCGAGCTAGGTGCTCTGAGCTGGAAGCCCAATCTGATGAGGGGACACCTGATGGGGAGACACCTGAAGTCCAGCTTGATGGGAAGCTGCTTCTCTTGGTCCTGGTGCTCTCCTCCTGGGCTCGCTCTACTTGTAGCCTTGGGTAGGATGGTCTGAGCCATAGCCAGCCCCTCCTATCAGGACCTCAAGGAGAGGAGGGTGAGATGTGGGAGGAAGTCCCCCTATTTCTTCTCTTGACTTGTTCTTCTCCCTCCACAGAGCCCAAGAAGCAACTGAGTTCCTGACAGAAGATTTGCTGCAGGTGAGGCGAGTGCCAGCTTGCACCTGCACGTGGGGACATGCCCCATCCCTACCTGCGATCCTCCCCACTGGCACCTCCTTGTTATGGGGCTGAAACACTCCTGCCTGCTGGAGGGCGGCTCCAGGGCCAACACAGCGGCTTCAGCACAGCACTGGCAGATCCAGCACGGCTGTGTCAGCGAGCACTGCTCTGACATGCCCCCCATGACACAAAGAAGGGCTCATCGGTGCCACCTTTCCACCCCCAGATCGAGCAGAGGATCGAGCCAGCCAAGCGAGCAGCTCACAGCGTGTCCAAGCGGCTCCAGGCTTGTCTGCAGGGGCACTGCGGCGCCGAAATGGACAAGAGAGTGGTGAGTGTTCCCTGGACGCCTCCTCAGCCACCACAAACCCTGAAGCCTAGATAGCATCTTTGCAAAGCCCTAAGCCCATGCCCTTTCCTGAACTCCTGTGGCGAGGAGCAGCATGGTGCAGCTGGGCATGGGTACACCACTGCTTCCTCTTCCTTGGTTTGAACCTGCCACCTCCTTCCCAGCTGGTGCTCACCAGTTCCTGTCTGGAAAGCAAATCCTTCCCGTGATACCGCAGGCCCTTTCTTCTCCTAGCTTGGCTAAATTATTCTCGACATTAAATTCCGCCATACACTTGAAGCCATGGCAGGGCTGAGCCTAATAGTGTCCTCCATGAGTCCCACACTTCTCCACTGTTTTGGAGAAGTCTAGTGAATTTCTAACCAGCTGTTTAGCCAACTGTGTCCTGGCTTTGGCCAAAGAGACATCCAAAGGCCTCTTACTCTGGCCCCAAGGACAAGAGGAAGCTGGACCAGAGGGAGATGTGGGGAACCAGTGTGGGTTTAGGAGGCTGTCTGTCCCTTGCCCACAGTGGTATGCATCAGGGCGACTGAGCTGCCACACATCAGCTCATCATCTCTTTTCCCAAACCTATGGCTCTGTGCAGAAGAAGCTACCCTTGATGGCTCTGTCTGCAACGATGGCTGAGAGCTTCAAGGAACTGGACACAGAGTCCAGCCTTGGGTAAGTGCCAGTGGGAAAAGATGGCCAAAATGTAGCTGAGCTGCTACCTGGGTTCAGGGGCTTCCGCTTCCAAGCCAGGCTGTCAAACCGTCCTGAGAAAATGGAGAACACCAGCATCAAGGGGGATGAGGGGACAGCCTCCAAGCACAGAATGGGGACAGGGGCTGGCTCTGGGTCCCCACATGGGTATACGTATGGTAAGGGATGTTGGATTGGAGGCTGGCATGGCTCCAGCCAGTGCTTGTTTCACCCCTCTCCCTTTCAGGAAAGCCTTGGAGATGGGCTGCTGCATCCAGAGTTTGCTGGCCAAGATCTTGGCCGAGTTTGAGATTGCTGTAGAGCGTGACATCCTGCAGCCACTCAACAAGCTCAGCGAGGTAGTCATGGCCAACCCCCAGCTCCAGTGTTCCATCCCCAAACCTTTGCCATTCAACCTGGTCCCTCTCTTCCAGGAGGAGCTTCCCATCATCCTGAAGCGCAAGAAGACCCTCCAGAAGCTGATTTCTGACTGGAATGCCATCAAGAGCCGGTATGGAGCACGGTGTGGTCATGGGAGACCAACTGGGTTGGAGGAGAGGAGCAGACAACTGCCCTCTGCCAACATGGGGAGCAAATCTCCCAAGGGACAGGAATGAAGCCAAAGAGGAAGGAACTTGTCCCCAAACCCCTTCTCCACGTTTATAGAATCACAGAATCATAGAACCATTAAGGTTGGAAAAGATCCACATCTGTATGGTTCTTGAATACTTGCAGGGAAAGTGACTTCACCAGTTCCCTGGGCAGCCTGTTCCAGTGCATCATCACTCTAAGAATAAATTATTCCTAATTTCACTATTTTTTCCTAATATTTCACCCTGTGTCCCCACTGATGAAGCTGTGAGCATTGCTTCTTCTCTCCCACTTCAAAGGCTGAACCAAGCTGCCAAGAGTTCCAGTAACAGTGCAGGAGCTGGAACTGGGCCAGGGGTATCTTCTGCTGCCAACAAACTGGAGATCCTGAAGGAAGAGGAGGAGGAGGTGAAGAGAAAGGTGGAGCAGTGCAAGGTGAGAACATCACTGGCTCTCCTCCTTGGGGCAGCTCCAGGGCTGGAGATCTGCTTTCCTCCAGCAGCTCCATCCAAGGTGACTCCTACACAAGAGCAAGCCAGTCAACCCTGCACAAGCAACCATCTCCCTTCCAGCAGTGTGGAAACAGGGAGATGTCCCAAGCCTGGGGAAGAACAAAAGTAAAGGATTTGAAGCATAAGCTGTTGCAGAGAGGAGGCTCCAGGGGCTGGAGCGGGGAGAACATGGCGTGCTCCCAGGCTGAGAGCCAGCTGATCTGGGTTCTGTGCTGGATGACAGGGGGACTGATTCCCATCATCTTTCCACATGTCCACGCTGTTTCCTTTTGGGAGCTCTTTGCCTTGTTTGTCAGAACCTACCATAGCTGGGAGATCCTCTTGTGAAGTTCTAGGGCCTTATGGTAGGACAGGTCACTGCTATGACCTAAACACAAGTGACAGAGGTGAAGAAGGGTCCCCATGCAGCCCCAGCCTGCCCTCCCATCACCTTCCCTGAATGAGGGGCTTCTTGAAGGCATCCGTTCTCCCTCGGGTGCCAGGCAGGAGGGGGAAGGATGCTCTTCTTGGTGTCTCCCTTCCCAGGATGAGTACATGGCTGACCTCTACCACTTCTCAACCAAAGAAGACAGCTATGCCAGCTACTTCATCAGAGTAAGTTCTCTTAGCATGTGAATTGTCTCCTGGGGTATGTCCAGCCTTGTCTCCATTTGCAGCAAGCCCTCCAGCCAGAGCAGAGTGCCGCATGCACTAGAAGATGCCTCCAAATAGAGCACTTGTCCCAATTCATCCCCCTCTCTAATTTGTCTTCTATCTACCACTATAGACATGATCCCACAGATCCAGGGGATCTCCCTTGCAGTTCTTCCTGCAGTATCTTTGCTTTCCTTGGTGCTCTCTTCTTATGAGTGCAGTGTCCTGGGGATGGGGTCTCTGGAGAGGACAGTGCCAAGCTGAGCACTGGCTGTTCCCTGTCTGGCAGCTCCTGGAAATCCAAGCCCAGTACCACCGGCAGTCTCTGGAATCTCTGGACTCGGCTCTGACAGAGCTGAAGGAGAGCCACAGCCAGAAAGGTACCCAATCACTTGCAAGGTAGCATGGGGATGGCTGTGGAACAGCCAGGAAGGCTGGGAAAGGTGACTTCTTTTCCCCATGCCTGCTGCTGCCTCCTAGCATGGGGTAGTGGGCACTGCTAACTAACCCCAGCTTTGGAGTGGGATGCCACCATGGTTGGTTGTCACCAGGACCCCAATCCCCAAGAACATTTCCCTGTCTCCCCCAGAGCCCTCCTTCACCACAGAAACCTCAGTGCTAGGCTACTACGGCGTGCCCCTGCAGACACACCTCAAGAACTTGGGCCGAGAGATTGCTCTGCCTATCGAGGCCTGTGTCATGATGCTGCTAGCCTCGGGCATGAAGGAGGAGGTAGGCAGCCCTCACCATCCTACACTCCCTAAAAACACTCCACAGCACTCTGCATCCCTCTGCTCCATCCCCAGGGACTCTTCCGGCTGGCAGCAGGAGCTTCGGTGCTGAGGAAGCTGAAGAGCAGCTTGGCCAGTGGCTCTAACGCCCTAGAGGAGTTTTACTCAGACCCCCATGCTGTGGCCGGTGGGTTTGGTGACATGGGGCAGGGATATGGGGGCAGGGGGTCACTGCTGGCCCCCATCCTCCATCACCTCCCCACTCCCACTCTAGGCGCATTAAAATCCTACCTGCGAGAGCTACCCGAGCCTCTGATGACCTTCAAGCTCTACGACGAATGGATCAAAGTGGCCAGGTGGGTCAAGGCTCACAAGCCCAACAGCCCAGCAGCTGTTTGGCCTCTCACTTTGGGGGTGGGAGGAGTAGTGAAGAAGTTACAGCAGTGCCCATCATCAGCATCATCAGTCCTTCTACCTTGTAAACCAAGTCCATCTTTGTCCTCCAAAGCGGTCTGAGCTCTCCTTTTCTCTCTCCTGCAGCTTAAAGGACGTTGACAACCAGGTACAGAGCCTGAGAGACACCTGCAGCCACCTGCCCCAGGACAGCTACAACAATTTGAGGTGTTTCTGTGGGATGGGGCTGCTTTGATCCCACGTGTTCACCAGGGGCAGCCGTTCCCTTCCTGAGCATGCACTCACTGTTTCCTTGTTCTCCTTTTACCCTGTAGGTATCTGATCAAGTTTTTAGCCAAGCTGGCAGAGCACCAGCATGTGAATAAAATGACCCCCAGCAACATCGCCATAGTGCTAGGCCCCAACCTGCTGTGGCCAGAGCAGAGCACAGGGTGAGGTCTGGCTGGGTTGCAGGTTTTCTGGAGAGAGGCAGTCCTTCTTTTTGGGCTTTACACCTCCAGAATTAACATAAAATGGGTTAATTCCCATAACTCCTACCCTGATGGCTCTCCCACCTCTGCTTCTCAGAGACCCTATGCAACTGGACTTGGCCTCGGTCTCCTCCATTCAGGTGGTGGGAGTCGTGGAAGCCCTCATCCAGAATGCAGACATACTCTTCCCTGGAGGTAGGCCTTCGCTCTGTCTTTCCATCTTTGGGGACCATAGCAGAGGGTGAAGGGAACATAAAAAAAGCACCACAAATAGCAGAATGGATCCCAAGCATCCCAGGCAGCTGCAGTTCCCTGCTGTAGAGTTTGCTCCTGGGGCATGGGGCATGCTCACTGTCTAGCAAGGATGCAGTAAGCACTTCTTGGCCTTTCTCTCCATGCAGAGATAGATTTCAATGTCTCAGGGATGTTCACACTGCCTGCGGATGTCAGACTTAATGAGGCTGCCCCAGTAGACACACTGCCACCCAAATCCCCTCCAGCCTGCTCTCCATCTCCCCTGGATGAAGAGACGTAAGTCTGGCAAGAGCAGGGGGCTCCTGACCTCTATTCCACCCCCTCTCCGTATGCTGCAAGGCCAGGACCACTGTGCCCCACGGTGCTGGCTCCAACCATCATCTGAACACCCAACTGTTCCCTTCTCCTCCAGCACAAATGACTCTGAAGTGAGCTCCCAGCCTCCTTCCCCAGTGGTGACCAAGCCGTCCTCTGAAGCCACAGTGCCACCAGCTCCGACACCAGCCAATGACACTGCCCGCAAAGGTTAGGAAACAGAGGCACAGTGCTTGGGAGATGCCTACAGGGCCGACATCTCCACCTTCTCCAGTTTCTCCTCATTTCACCACATCCTGCAAGATGGGGTACACAGGCTACCACATGGGAGGAAAAGGGCCTTAATCTGTCCCCTTGTTTTCTGCTCTCCATCCCCAAGGCGGGCCTCTGGGATGGAAAGCTCATCACTCCGTTCAAAGCTCATGTCTCACTGCGAACTGAAGAGGGTGGGAAAAGACCCAAAAAAGTGGGATGTGCTCTGTCTGACCCACGTGGGCTTCTGCTACATTAGCTATGCAAGGAGCATCTTGTCTCCCACACTACCTGAGACCCTCACCATGACCCCCCCTCTGCTCTCTTTCCAGCCAAGCGCCCGGCTCCATCTCGACCCACAGGGCCACCGCCTTTAGCCCAAGCCCGAAGCATGACCCCCGAGCACACCGCCAGCCCCAAGGCCCGGCCGCGACGGCTGGGCGCTCCCTCCATCCCTCCACCACTGCCCCCACAGCCGGCACCGCGCCATAGCCGTGAATCCCTCACGTCCCCAGGGCTTCCCACCATCAGTACTCCAAACTGCACCGCAGATGAGGGGACAGCAGAAGGACAGAGCCCCTTGGCTGGATCAACAACAGTGGAGAACGACTGAGCAAGGCACGGGGCTGCCATCAGCTCCCACTTGCCTCCACTTCTTCATCCGCCGCCATGAGCCTTCCACCTTGCCCCATCAGGATGGGCAGCAGGGCCCAGACCCCTGCTGGTCCCCCCCCCCTCTGCCCACAGGCCCTCATCCTCCCTCAGAGAGAGAAGGGAAGGCCCTGCGGTATTTCGGCTGGGGGTGAGAAATGCCTCATCGTGCAGAGCCCTGCACCAGGGCCTGGCGCGGCTCAGGTGAGCGCGCAGCCGCCATTTTGCCTCACGTTGCGTCACCTCGAGCCCACGAACAGGTACGGTTGGTTTGCCTGTGAAAAGATTCTATTTTTTAAGAAGATATATATGCCTGCGCACCCATGTGGACATGTATATATCTGTACGTATCGCGACTACACGATGTCAATAAACGCTGGGACGCGAGCGCTGCCACGGGCCAGATCGGTATAGCAGCCCGACCCTCTCTGTAACGGCGGCTGCGGCTGCCCCAGCGAGCCGCGGGATGCCCTTGGCCAATCAGCCAGCGCGCCCTAGTTCCGTCCCGCCTCCCCGCCGCCTTTCTGGGCAGCCAATAGGGCGGCGAGGCTGTCGCTTCTCCCTCCGCTCGACCACGCCCCTCTCCCTGCAGTCGATAGGTTGGTGCCGCCGTCACTCTTCTCTCTTCCCGTCTCCCATTGGCGGAGCCGTGCCGGCGGGCGGTGCCGCTCAGCGTCGGGGCGTGGCGCAGCGCGGCGGCGGCCGTTGGCGGCGGCATGGCGAGCTGCCGGCGGCTGAGCGGTGCGGCGCTGCGGGAGGTGCTGGGCTCGGCGCAGGGGTTGCTCTTCGATTGCGACGGGGTGCTGTGGGCGGGCGAGTCCGCCGTGCCCGGCGCTCCCGAGCTGCTGGAGAGGCTGCAGCGCAGTGGCAAGGCCGCGCTCTTCGTCAGCAACAACAGCCGGCGCTCGGTGGCCGAGCTGGAGCTGCGCTTCAGCCGCTTGGGCTTTCGCGGCGTCCGCGGCGAGCACGTCTTCAGCTCCGCGCTCTGCTCCGCGCTCTTCCTCCGCCAGCACCTCCTCAGCGGAGGGGCGGGCGACGGCAGCGCGGTGAGCCGCGTCTTCGTGCTGGGCGGCGAGGGGCTGCGGGGCGAGGTGCGGAACGCCGGGCTGCACCTGGTGGGAGAGGGCGAGAAGGGAGCGGAGCAGGTGCACGCCGTGCTGGTGGGCTACGACGACCAGTTCACCTTCGCCAAGCTGGCCCAGGCCTGCGCCTACCTGCGAGACCCGCGCTGCATGCTGGTGGCCACCGACCCCGATCCATGGCACCCGCTGAGCGATGGGCAGCGCACCCCCGGTGAGCCCCGCAGCGCCCTTGTGTGGTGTGGGGCTTGTGAGGGGCTGGGGCTGTGAGCTCTGGAGAAGAGGAGCTCAGGAGGGACGTTACTGCTCTCTGCAGTGACCTGGAAGGGGGTCGTGGTGAGGTGGGGGTCGGCCTTATCTCCCAGGTAACAGAATAGAGCAAGAGGGAATGGCATCTAGTCGTATCGGGGCAGGTTCAGGTTGGATCTTGGGAAAAATTTCTTCTCCAAAAGAGCGGTGCTGCAGTGGCACAGGCTGCCCAGGGAGGTGGTGCAGTCACCGTCCCTGGAGGTGTTCCAAAACTGTGTGGATGTGGCACTGAGGGATGTGGTCAGTGGACATGGTGGGGATGGGCTGGTGGTTGGTTCAGGTGATCCTAGTGGTCCTTTCCAACTGAAATGATTCTATGACTGGGGCTGAGCTCCCCAGCTCACAGCCATGTCATGGTGATGGGATTGGCTATTGGCCATCAGAAAGGTGCACAAGATTCCCTAAGCAACAGGGCTGCTGGAATTGCTGTCATGCCTTTCTTGGCTTATTAGTTGGCAGCCGACTGAACATAAGTCAGCAGTGTGCCAAGAAGGTGGCCAAGAAGAGCAATAGCATCCTGATTTGTATCAGTAATAGCACAGCCAGCAGAAACAGGGAGGTGACCGTCGCTCTGTACTCAACACTGTGAGGCTGCACCTTGAGTGCTGTGTTCAGTTTTGGGCCCCTCACTACAAGAAGGACACTGAGGCTCTGGAGTGTGTCCAGAGAAGGACAACAAAGGTGGTGAAGGGTCTGGTATCACTAGACTGATAGGGGGTAGCTGGGGGAACTGGGATTCAGCTCCGCCTGGAGAAGAGGATAAGAGGAGATCTCATCACCCTCTACAAAGACCAGAAAGGAGGTTGTAAGAAGTTGGAGGTCAGCTTTTTCTCCAAAGTAACAATGATGGGTCAAGAAAAATGCACCAAGGGAGGCTCAGATTGGGTACTGGGGAAAATTTCTTCTCCGAAAGAGCAGTGCTGCAGTGGCACAGGCTGCCCAGGGAGGTGGTGCAGTCACCGTCCCTGGAGGTGTTCCAGAGCCGTGTGGATGTGGCACTGAGGGACGTGGTCAGTGGGCATGGTGGGGATGGGCGGGAGGTCGGATGAGGGGATCTTAGAGCTATTTTGGAGCCTTAGTGATTTGATGACAGGACTCTCACTTGAGCTACCTGCACCTATATCTTTTTCTTCTCCTTTCCCCCCAGGGACTGGCAGTCTCACAGCTGCAGTGGAAACAGCTTCAGGCCGCAAGGCACTGGTGGTGGGGAAGCCCAACACCTACATGTTTGATTGCATCGTGGAGCGTTTTGGTATTGACCCATCCCGTACCCTCATGGTGGGAGACCGTCTGGAGACAGATATCCTCTTTGGCAAGAACTGCGGCCTCTCTACCATCCTCACACTGACGGGTGTCTCCCGCCTGGAAGAGGCACTGGCTTACATGGCCAGCGACAGCACTGCTGCCAAGGATATGGTGCCCAATTACTATGTAAACAGCATTGCAGAGTTGATACCAGGCTTGGATGACTAGTGGTCTTTATGTGTGAGAGCAGAGGAGTCGGGTTCCCCATCCCAGATCTCTATCTGTTCCATTTTCTCTCTCACCACCCATTTCCCTCACTTCCTGGTTTCTTCACGTTCCGGTACCCTTTTCTGGAGACAGGAGAAGAGGGGGGCAGGGTTAAAGTTGTTTCCTTTCTGCTGAGAGCCACCCATGACAGACAGAGTCCTTTTCTCCCTCATGTGCCAGTACGAGCGTCTCTGGGAGAGAGCTGGAGGCCTTGAGGCTGACATGGGGTCTGAACAGTGTTTTAGTGTGTGGCCTCTCCTGCTGCAGGGGTTAGGGAACAGCTATCTTAACGGTTTTCTCTTAGATAACCAGTGGCGGCCTTTTACTGCTGTCCCTTTGCTCTGAAACTCTTCGTGTCTGAGCTGCAGCCCTGCAGTCCTTATGGTAATCCCCTCCATGGGAGGGGAATGGCTGGGGGTATCACCCACTGCCACCCACCCATCTCCATCGGTGCCAGGGTGTGTTGAAGAAGCATTCTGGAGCAGTGAATGAGAGCACCTCTGCCTCCCACAGGTGAATAAGTGAATGAGAGCATCACCTCATCCATTGTCTTCTCTCTGCTGTTCCTTAGAGGTGTTTCCCTATCACTCCCTGACCTGACTTGCCTAAAAGCTGTGCCAGTATTTGTCAGAAATGACTGCAGAAAGGGAAAAAAGGCTGTCCTTGTCCCTTTTTTTGTGCCAAACAACTCAGACTCAGTCGGTCTGTGGTTGTACCTTGTTTTCAAGTACCCCTGCTGAAGGGGCTTGTGAGAGGGCTCCTAGACCACAGAAGCACAGCAGGAGTGAACTTTACGATTCTCCCCTACTTCCCCTCCTCAGTGGATTTTGCCATGGTGTGGTGAGAGAAAAGGGCTGATGGGGGTCTGTGCTCTGGCTGCTGAGGTGTGGGTATGATGTTGCTATTGTTACTGCTGTGAATGTTGCAGCCCTCAAAACCATTCCTTGCTGCTTCGTCTTTCTATGTTTTTTTTTTTTAAATTTATTTATTATACTAAATTATTTATTGTTCAAATATTGTATTATTTGTATAAATAATGCTTACTGTTTGAACCAAGGGGACAGGAGGCAGATTCTTTGGGCCTCCCTTACTGTCTGTGTCCTATATTGATGTTCTTACACTCACCGTGTTTCTGGATATAATAAAGTGTGAGCGTAGGCTGGAAATGACCTCCTTTCTTCTCCTGCATTCCTATCAAGATGAGAATGGCTTGGCTATCTCTGAGCCCTTAAAGGTCTCATCTGATGAGGGTATGGAAGACCTCACTTATAAGTGAATTACTGCTCACGCAGCAGAACTAGATGCAACTTACTAGGACAATTCTTTGTCCTTGGTGTCCTTCTTCCTCACCTCAGATAACTTAGGGGGAAGGAAAAACTCCAAAAATACAAGGACATCCAAAGAGTTCTCTGAAGCTTCCGTGCATCTTAATTGGAGCCCTTCGTCTGTGTTTCTCTGTTGTGTCTCCCATCTTCAATTACACGACCAGAGGAATGGTACTTGGCAAGCTCCTGATCCACACGTGTATCCCCAAGTAAAGCAAGGCCCAAGATCTAATGTGCCTTGCTAGATCTGCTTGCTTAATCGAGAGCCACCCAAGACAAGCACTGTCTTTAGCCACTGGACTGTTCTTGCCCTGAGTGAGGCCAAGATCAGCAATATAGGGATCCATCAGACCTGCCGGACTGGTTTTCTTTGGCTTCCCTCTGCTACTATTACTCCTGTGCATAATGAAAGTGAGCATGGGTAGATCTTATTAGAAAACAGGTGCCTTCCTGCTGTCCCTGATGGATGGTGAGTTCTCCATCCAAGCCCTTCAGATTTCCATTCGCCTTGAGCTAAGTCCTCTGGTGCTGAGGGGTCTTTGGAGATCACATCTGCTACTGAAACTGAGATAAGTGATGGCTTTCTGCCTGGGTAGATTCATTTCTTGGTGGCTAACGAAATCACACAGTTGCCACAGAGAGCAAGTCTGTGAAGAACGAAGCCGTGGAAACACATGGGGGGATGGGGTGGATGGAAGCTTGTTTTGGTGCTCTATAGAAAACGTTTATTTCTTCACCTTTGGAAAACTGCACGATCCCATCTTGCTGTGCAGTGAGGACAAGAGCGCGATGAGGCACACAGCAGCTGTTTGTTACCCAAAGAGCCCCAAAATCTTTGTATAATTGTGGTTACTGTGGCAATTGCTGGGTGGTGATGCTAGCAGCAACTTGCAGAGCATCGCCTGCTCTGGGCAAGACCGAGGGAGAGGCCTGTGTCCATTTGTCTGCGCATAGTGATTTGAAGGCAAGCCTCCAGGGAGGAGAGTCCACAGCCTTTGGGCAATGTGTGCCAGTGCTCCGTTACCCACACAGTGAATAACGTTTCCTGATGTTGAGATGGTTCCAATTTGTGCCCATTGCCTTTTGTCCTGACACTGAGCACCACTAAAAACTGTCACCTTTCTGGCTCTGAGGGCATATTGCTGACTCATGTTTAACTTGGTGTCT